ATCACTTCCACAAGAAAGCTGCCTGCACTGCAGTGCTCACAGATACGATACTGAGACATACGCCATTGGACAAGCAGATCGACAGTACGGAAGCGGAAGCATGAAGCAAGTTTTCCGCCCAACGTGCACGCTGGAGCCTCCACTTGCAGAGCATTCGGCAAATCGACTCAAGGATTTGCACAGCAGTCCGCACAAGCCTTCCCCGGAAGCGGAAGAGACTGAGGAAGTGGCTGTGCAAGACTAATCTTGCAGTCGCTTGTCTCCAGAATCGCAAGATGCTCACCTGTGGAGTCATTGTAATATATTGTCATGCTTCCACCCTTTCTGTCAGTCGAAGGCATCGAGCCAGACCGGGAATATCTGGCTCAGACTTGGATACTGAATGGTCACAGCCAAGGCACTCTGCAGAGTGGACGATTGTTTGAAGTGACTTCATGTTCGTCAGCATTGAAGTAGATGTCGTAGCTCCCTGGTGTATTCCTTTAACGCCACAATCTAGCGGCTCTCCACTTCAACCTTCCTGTCAAGTCTGCTTGGTGCTGCGTGTGCACAGCTGTTTTCTCTCCAAGCTCCTCCAAGCAAATCCGCCTGAGGATCCCCAGTCATCGCAGCCCGATTCAACATATATTGGAGTCGTATTGCACTGGACAGACGAGAGCCAAGCTGGAGCAAAGAGCGCAGCGCCCCCAAGTATGTTACAACCGTGACAAGCCCACTGGCTTAAGCCTCCAAGTCCTGAATCCCGAGCCCCCAAGAGGCCGTTTCACCTATCCTGGCCCATTGCCTGGCCTGGCCTGTAAAGCGATGCCGACTCGCGCTTTTTGCCTTGGGCTGGCATCTAGCGTCCTGGCAACATGTGCTGGAACTTCTTGCTCGCTGCGGGATGCCAGATGTAGAGTCGAGGACGGTTCGGAGGACAGCTGCGCTGGGGAAGCATGTGGCCCCCGCCCCATGCGAACCCGAGAACGGTTTCTCGAAGTCTTGCATATCTTACAAGCCAACCGGCCCGAAAGCCCTGGCAGGACGTGGCCGCGCTCCAACTGCGCGAAGATGGAGGCTCTGGGCTTCGAGACTTGCGTTCGGTGAGGTGGAGGTGAAATGTGAGAAGGGCGCTGGGAGAAGCCTTTGGGGCCCCAAGCGTCCTCCGTTGTGAGACCATCTGGAACTGGAGGGCATATTGTCTTTAGACACTTGGGTCCTGGCTTCGGGTTGAATTTGGGGTGTTTATAGGACTCATAGAAATGCACGGGTTCAATCCAAACTCAAAGGAGGCCATAGAATCAGAAGAGTGTTGGGTTGTTATAGCATAGTGTAATGCGGGATGATAGAGAGCTTCTTTTATTTAAGTATTTGTAGCTATATACGACAGAACGCTGGCTCGAAATGTCACGCTTCGCCAGAGACGCTGCTTCGCGAAGCTAGTAATCCTAAGAGCCGCAGGATCCTCGAAGTACTGCTCTTCGAGCTCTATGCCAGACCGCCCTGAGAAAAAAAGCTGATAAATCCAACGCCAGAAACGTCTGACCCCCCAACACCAAACCCTAGGCCCTAACCTTTCACCGCCAGGACCCAAGCCCCCCCAAAAAAAAGCAATCCCTTCGCTCCAGGAGGCCTTGGCAGCCGCAGGACGCATCGGGACTTGGCCGTCGTCGACGACAGAGGGGAGATGTTTCGCGGCATTGGCTTTGGGTTTAATGGGGGGAGGGTCCGGCAAGGAAGCCGCCATGACGGCAGCCGTTGTTGCCGCTCCTGCCACTGCGACTGCGACTCTGCTACTGCTACTGCTACTACTATTTGTAGTATGCCGCTACTGGTGCTCCCGAGGCTGCTGCTACTGCTGCTGCCGATGCTGCTGCTAGTGCTAATGCTGCTGCTGCTGCGACGGTTACAGCTCTTGCTGCGGCTGTTTCCGCTGCTGCTGCCACAGCAGTGACTGCTGTCAAAAATCTCGTCTTGAGTCTTGGTTATGTATCTGTTGGTGTTCGTGATTCGCATCCTGCTTTCAGTCTTTCTCTTCTTTTCTTATTCAACATCACCAAAGACATCAACATCAACAACAATATCAGCATCAACATCAGCATCAGCACCAGCACCAACATCAACATCAGCATCAGCATCAGCATCAGCACCAGAATCATCAGTATCAGCACCAGCACCAGCACCAGCACCAGCACCAGCACCAGCACCAGCACCAGCATCAGCATCAGCATCAGCATCAGTATCAACATCATCAGCATCAACAGCAGTTTTTAACATCGTCAGCATCAGCGTCAGCATCAGCGTCAGCATTGTCAGCATCAGCATCAGCATCAGCACATGCGTCAACATCAACATGAACATCAGCAACATCAGTATCACTGCTATTGCAATGATTGCAACGCCATCCTCCTTTTCCTCATCACCCACATTGCTTTAGTAGTTGGGCCGGTTAGATGCCTTCTTTTGCTGGCGGTCATGCATGTTACAGCTTTTGGGAAATTGAGCTTCAATCACAAGCTTCTCAACAGAATCGTGGAGGCGTCCGATTGAAGCCGAGGCTCTTGCAGTTCTCGTCCCGGTCCCGGAGCATCCCTGCGCGTGGCTTGTCGGGGTTTGGCCTGCCGGATCCTGGAGCTGCCATGATCTGCCATGATTGTGGAGGTATGTAGGCTCTTGGCGAAGAAGTATCGCGTCCTTTCCTTCAAGGCGAGGGGAGGCAGGGGCACCGCGGGATCCGAGGTTACTTGGGTGCTGTGCCGAGCTTCGGGGAGACCTGGAAGCTCTCGGAAGCCTTTGTTGTGTCTTTCTTCAGTTGGTGATTGGATCTGAGCGGGCCGCCTCGCGAAGCCTGGGAATCATCTGTAGATGTGAGACCCCGGAGTCTGGACCTTAAAGCCGCAAAGAACCGGAAAAGCTAACACCTCGAGCCTTGAAACTTAAAGTCTCAAACACCCAAAGCTCCACAACCTCGAGCCCCTAAAGTCTAGACACTCAAGACATTGAAATCCCATGGCTGCTCATAACCGCCGGCTCTTGACCTCCCGGTCCAAGACAAGGAGAAGGGCAACTTCATCACACTCCTTTTCATCTACTCCCCCGCACTCTGGGCGCCTCGGCTTTTGTCGGGATCTCCGAGGGAGGCCCCAAAGTCGGGTAAGCCTCTGGGTTTAGGTTCTTGCGGTTCAGCAACTATTAGGTTTACGTTTATTTCTGCCGCTTAGGGTTTCGTAGCTTTTTGAGGGCTTTGGACAGGGACGTCCCACACGTCGTTTGGTTGGGGAAGACACAAGAACGCAAACACTAAACTGCTAAGCCCCGAAACCCCTAAACCCTAGAACCTTGACGCCTTAAGCTCCAAACGCCTACAGCCCTAAAACGTTAACCCCGGGCCAACCCCAAACCATACTCTTGAAGCTTTCAGGCATATAGCCCTAAATAGCAACTTCTTCGAGGCAGGTGTGGTGTTGCCCAGAACGAGCCTTTGGGGTTTCAAGGGCTTTCGGTGTTTTAGGGTTTCAGGGAGTGCAAGTTTGGGGATCTGGGGCTTTCGGGGGTTTAGGGGGGGCTTACTGTGCCGAAGGTTAGGGCTTCAGGGTTTAAGGCTTCGGGAAGTCAGAGGCAGCTCCCGCCATCTTCTGCAGCGGAGCCGGGAAGGCGCATCGTGTGCAGGCGAAAATCTTCGGAGGAGAGCTCGGCGAGGAGCACGGGAAGCCGGGATGCAAGGCGCAAGGCCTGAGGAGCTTAGGCCATTGAACTTTTGGTATCTTTTGGTCTTGCCTATAACAAGGTTCGCATAAGCAACCCAGGAACACCATCGTGTTCCAGTGCGACTGGCCAGAAGCAGATGCAAATCGGACGTCCTTCGATGTGTTTCTGGAGGACGGCGATGGCCACGAATTGGGTCGCGTGACGGCCGCCCAAAATCCCTCGCTGCTCCGTCATTATGGAACCGTGGGCTGCGTGCGCCCTCTTTGGAACGGAGATATCTCGGCTGTGGCCATTGCCCCCCAATGGCTCGAGTTTCACGCCTTGCATGGTGTGGAACACTTCCTTGTGTACACCGCGTCTGATAGTGACGATGTGGTTCTCAAGATGTACGAGCCCTTTATCAAAGCCGGCCTGGTCACACGCGTGCACTTCAACACTGTCAACACCGACCTGCTGAAGGGTTCTAACACCTCTCACCCAGCCATGCAACGACATCATGTCCAGACGTGGGCCATGCACGACTGCCTCTATCGCATGAGGAGCCGCGCACAGTGGCTGCTGCCATCGCTGGATGTGGATGAATACATCAGATTAGGAGATTCAACAGGAGCTTACTTGAGGACAGCCTGGGACAAGATCGCAGCAGACCACGTTGGGAGCAAGTCTGGGATGGTCCGCAGCATTCGAGCCTTGGCTCAGTTGACCTTGCAGGTTTGGGTGACAAACCTCCGCGTGCTCGTTCGCCCTGAGTGGTGTTTGAAGACACTGACGACACCCTGGATGCAAACTTGTGAGAGTTCTGTCCATTCGTAGGTAACCTCTGGGCATGTTCAAAGTGTTCACAGTTTGCTGCTACAGTTGGCGTGGGCGAGAGACTGCTGTTTCAGGTCTAGACAGACTGAACTTCCCCATCGAAGAGAAGCGAGATGTTTCCAAGCTTCTGATTGCCGCAGAGCATCGTTATGGGGAGACCTATGTGCAGCCGAAGTATGTCATGCGCCCGGCCTTCAATCAGGCGAGATGCCCTGCATGATCAGAGAGCTTCGATAGCTGCGAGGGGCAATAGTTCTGGTAGCTGTAGTATCGCCTGGCTTGTATCAAAGGACATTGAAGTCAGAACGTGATCTGGCTGGGGCTAGGAGCTTGCAGTAAGATTCCGACGCCTGGAAAGGCTGGGAAGTGTCTCCCCTTGCGCATGAAGCCCGAAGCCTTCACTAGAACTCGGGCTTTTGGTTTCGAGCTCTGGGCTGAGGGGCTTCCGCTTCGAGCTCTCGAGTGCAGGTTCTCTCCGTCCACTGCCAGAAGAGCTGGACCAAGGGAACGCAAGAGATTCAGATCTCTCCTTCCGAGGGCTTCGTGGCTCGGAACTGTATGACCGTCCGGTTTCGGAGATTTTGCTTGAAAGCAATGGTGCTTCAGACACACAAATTCTTCCAAGATCTGATTCAGACTTCATGTCTTGGACTTTGATCGTGATTGATGTCGCAGACTCAGCCATGCTTTCGACAAAGTATTGGGGCCAAGATTTGAGAAGATCCGAAAGCGTCTCAGCCAGGTGGCCCACTATCGGGTGCACGCTCAGCGAGAGGAGAATGGCCCTCACGGGCAGAAGCCCAATGTCTCCGACCCTCAGACTGGGAGCTTGAGGTCTTCGGGGAGGGCTGGTTGAATGCAGTGAAATGTAGGAATCTGATTTTAAGAAACCCTGGCTCTCTATTAGGGCTCATTATCTGAACCTCGATAGTTTGGGGGTTATAGCCCCTAGATTGCTTGAGTATTCGGATTGCAAAGATAGGTCCGGTGCTCCGGGATTCCTAGTGGCAGCTGAAGTATGAAGTGCTGGGAATTTGCGATTCTTATTGTATGCTACTTAGATGTGACTTCTGTCCAGCTTGCCGGATCCTGAACACCACTGCGGGGGGGCAGGAAACGTAGGGCGGGCTGGCGGGGCTGGAGGTGCAGCGAATCGAACTCGGTCAGTGCGACAATCCTGAGGACACAACCCTCTTGGGTCAAGTGCCTTTGCTGCTCGCAGCGCTGGATAAGCGCTATGGTGGCAGGTGGCCGTCCAAGCCAGACAGCCTTGCGAACTGTGTAAGATCTACCGCACACACACACATATGTTACACGTGTGTGTGTGTGTGTGCGTATATATCTATATACGTATACATATAGAAATGTATGTATGTGGCTGTTTGTCCATCTACATATGGCTTCAGTGGCAGGTTTGGGGGGACAAGCCTGCACCTCCAAGCCGTCACCGCTCTTGAGGCATGTGTATCCCACACCCTCATCCTTTCCGCTGTAGAACCCGAAACCTCTAAACCCCCTTAGACCCGCTAAACCCCCTGAGCACTAACCTCCCAAAACCCCAAACCCGTAAGCCTTAAGTGCGACCCGGGCAGGTGGCCCGCGCTGGCTGCGGAGTTCCAGACCGGATCCTCAATGCTAATCGGCGACCTCTGAGGTTCAACAGATCCTGTGTTAAATGCGCTTTCAAAGTTTTCAAGGTCCGAAGTTTGGGATTTTTTGGCATTCGGGATTTCTTGGGGTTTAGAGTTTCGGTTGAGCACCTCGGAGCTCGATAGGGTCTCGTGCCACCTTCGCTGCGATTCGATGCTCGGAGGATACATTAAAGAATCCTGTGCTGTATACAACACATGCAGACAAATACTGTATATGTAGTATACAGCTAATGGTATATATCTTGTAACATAAAGTGTACAGCATATTGCATAGATCATATAGCACGTACCATACAATGGCAAATGGCATAGTGCATATGGCATATACAAAAGACCAGATAGCATATAGGCAACTCCACATAGCGTATAGCATTTACTTACTTGCCCATAGGACACAGTACGAAGTACACAGTACCATGCATATAGTACATAGTGTGCAGCGAATAGCATATAGCTAGTATCTTATAGCGTAAGGTATACAGCGTATAGCAGAACATAGCATCTAACAGAGACTATACATGACCAGCATATGGCATTTAGCATAAAGCATATGGCATGCAGCATACAGCATGCAGCCTCGCGAGCGCGATGTGGTATACAGTGTTTACTGTATAGTACTATATGGTACACAGAGAATACGGTGTAGAGTCTATAGTATATCGTATGTCGTATATAGCATATACTCTAAAGTATTTAGTATATATTACATAGTGTTCATTATGTAGTATATAGTCTTTGATAAGTGTTTACAGTATACAGTGTCTAGTATAAAGTATGAAGTTTATGAAATGTCGTAGATAGCTTATAGTGTTTAGTGGGTGGAGTGTGTAGTCTTGTAATTTGTAGTATATAGTACATAGTATATCGTACAAAGTACACACTACACAGTACATGGTACACAGTACAGTATAGAGTACTTAGAATTTGTGTACATCGTATGTACTGCATAGGTGCGATCCGGAGCTGAGTACATCAGGGTACATTGAACAGTGTTGGCGATGTGTTTTGCTTGTGGCAGCGGAAGGTGTACTGTATGTTTCTGATTTCGAGGGGCAGGTGGTGGTGGTGGTGGTGGTGGTAGTAGTAGGAGGAGGAGGAGGAAGAGCAGGAGGAGGAGGAGCGGTGGTAGTGGTAGTGGTAGTCGTAGTAGTCGTCGTCGTAGTAGTAGCAGTAGTAGCAGTAGCAGCAGTAGTAGCAGTAGCAGTTGCAGTAGCAGTAGCAGTAGCAGTAGCAGTAGCAGTAGCAGTAGCAGTAGCAGTAGCAGT